CCTCTCCATGGGACAGCTGTGTGCCTCGGCCCACCCCCCACCCCCACTGAACTTGGAACCCCTGAGCTAAATCCCCGGCTCAGCACAACTTTCTTAGGAGTAGAAGAATGGCGCTCCAGTTACCATCTGCAGTCCTGCCTTCAAACAGTGTTCCAAAGACCTTTGTGGCTAAGTCTTGTAGAGCCCAAACCTCCCATTTAATTGCCTATTTTTGGTGTTTATGCATAGGAGGCATAAGGCTGCAACCTTTGGAATTTACCCTCTCCCTCTCCCCGCTCCCCTCTCCTTTCTCCTCTCTCTACTCTCCCCCTCCCTCTCCTTTGTGTGTGTGTGTGTGTGTGTGTGTGTGTGTGTGTCATCTCCTATGCCAAATTGCCATTCTTTAGAAAGGCCTGATAATAGGTGCACTCTGTAAATTAGTACTGCAGGTAGGCAGACTCCATTCCATGTATCTAGTTTATACCCAGCACTGAACACTCTAGCTGTTTATAGTTACAAACTGCACTTTGTGCAAGGTTCTTGAATTAACTTCTGTAGGCTACAATGGGCCAAAAATATCCCAGTCTACAAATTTCAGTTAAAACACAGACAAATCTGGTATATTAGACTTCTAACCAAGATTTTATCCTAGTGAGACATTCAGAACTCTTCTGTGCCTTGCTTTTCAATAGAGCTGCATAGCACTTCCTATGCCAAACTGCCATTCATTTATAAAGGCTTGATAAAGGTAGGTGTGTGTGTGTGTGTGTGTGTGTGTGTGTGTGTGTGTAGCTGGGTTCACAAACTTGATTCTTTCCACAATTCTGGTAGAAAACCAAGTTGGATGAGAACCAAATAAAATTCAGTGGGTAGGTTTAATGTTGACCTTATGAGGAAATTTGATTTGGTTCTCATCCAGTTTAGTTTGCAGCCAGAAAATAAATAAATAAATAACACACAACATATATAATATGAAATGTGTTTATATACATATGTATATATGTTTGTATATACTTATATACATATGCATGTGTGTGTGTGTGTGTGTGTGTGTGTGTGTGTGTGTGTGTTTGAGCTGGTTTGCATTTTTGTTTTTGTTTTTCTTTGTATACTTCCCCTCTGGTTGCTCTGTGTTTAGAGTAGAGCGAATCCATCAAAGAGAAAATTTATTGTGCCATCTTAACTGGAAGTCACGTGATCAGAGTTTAAAGAAAATAAAGCCAGATACTTGGATTTGCATAGTACTAAAAGTTAACCACAAGAATGTTTTTTCATGTGAGTTCAGTGGCCCAAACATAGTTATTTAAACTCCTTCTGAGCTTGCAAACCCCAAAAGATGAGAGATTAAGCAGGTGGGATTTATTAGATGCTTTGGTTCTTGACAAATATTTCACCTTCTATTTTTCATTTTGAAGGTAATTTTTAAAGTCATGTTTCTAAACACCTAATTGCCTCCACTTCCAACTAAATAGTGTCTTACGATTTCAGTGCCTGCAGTTATGTTTGTATGGGTGCCAAGTTGCACTACTTTACGTGTACTGCGGTACTACAAAAGAAAAGATGTGAAAATGTAAGTAATGTTTGAGCTCCCTAGGAGCTTTCTGTTTCCCAGTAGCTCAAAAGAGAAAAGTGGCAAGCAAGTGAAGTTAGCCTCAGCATGTAGCAGTGGCTGTAAACTCAACAGAACCTGCCTACAGCATATGGACCAGTTTCACATGATTTGTCCAAAGTGAGTTTCAGTAACCTCATTGAGCACATTAAGTCAGTGATACTAACTTAAATTCTACTTACTTTTAGATTTGTTGTTAGGTTTTATTATATTGGTACACATTTGTAATTTTGTTAATTTGTATATTTTGTAGTTGTATAAGAGTTATAAGCCTAGTATTTTACTAGCATATGTTTGTTAATACCTGACAGAACAAAAATGATTTCAGACTGTACTGGGAGCACTCAGCAATTTTTATTTTACATTGGAGGAGCACAGATCATACTGTAGCTGAACTCTTCCTATGTAGTGCAGTAAGCATCCTGTGTTTGATTTTGATATTTTTGCCTGGCTTGCTCCTGCTCATTTATCATGACCTTGGTTAGCTCAGGTGTTTTTTTCTCTCTGGAGAATCTGACACTGCATGCTGGGTTAACACCCCTTCTTGATGCTCCCTGTAGCACCTCATATTTTCCTTTCTTCTTCCAGCCCTTCTTATCATCTGTTAAATTTTAACTTCTTATAAGGCTCGAGTTCCTCATTAACCACAGGTTGCTTGAGAGCAGGGAACACTGTCATATTTTCATTTACAGTGTTTTGAGGAGTTTCTGTTGTAAAGTAGCTTGTAATATAATAAGATGTAGGGGTTTTTTTTCACTTGTTTTTATTTCTAGTAATACATTACTAGTGGACCCAGTGGTAGAAATAATTTAGAGCCTATTCACTAGTCACAAAGACAAGATTTCTAGTATTTTAGTCAGTGAGCTCCTCAGCTCATTTTTCTGTCTTACTATCAGATAAATGAAGGCAAAAAAGCAAGGAAAATAAGTAATCACTATTTGTATCAGAAATTTTGGGGAGGAAACATTATTTTTCAAGTTGGAGTGACAGCCCTTTGGTACTCTGATGGAGAACAAGGCCAAGGTCTCTATCTTGGCAGCTGTGAAGGTAAGCACTGTGGCCAAAAGATTCTTGTGCTTTGAAGACAGGTCCAGAAAGAATCTTCTCCTCCCCACATGGCTGGGTACACGTTAAAAGGATTGACTTAGTACATTCTGAGTTATCTGCTAGATTAAATTTCCATAATTCACTACAAAGTCATCTGAAGTGTGTATACACATGCTCTACACCTGGTTTGAAGTTGCCTCTGCCCAGGTTCTGTTTATGATTGAGGTTGGTTTGAAATCATCTGCAAATTTCAGGTCTGTGTTTCTGATTAGACTGCCTCTGAGGTAAAAACCCTGCTGACTCAACAGAGAAAAAGCCAGCTCCTCCTAGTGGAACCTTTCTTAAAAACCTCATTGTTTTTAAGAGGAAAAATACCACTTTTTTAAAAATGAGCAATTCCTAGATACAAGAATATTTTATTGTCACTTTAGACATAAAATGCCACACATGGGAGTAACCAACCAATCTTACTTATAATAGTGAAGCAAAGAAACATTACCTTTTAGTAAATGAAACAAACTATCAGAGCCTTTCAGCAATCAAGAAGAAAATGTTGTCAAGCTAAGTATAGTTGAATGTAAACATCTTAATTTTATGTTTGATTATATTTTGAGGAGGTGGATTAAATATTTTCTGACAAAGCCATCGTGCAGGTTATAATGAGCTATATTTTAAATGTTGACACTCTGGGAGCTACAAGAACTTCTATCAACATGAAATGAGTCTAAATTTTATCTGTCTTCATCTCCTACAACAGGTATCAGGTTTGTTTACTTATCTTTTCACACATTTATTCAATACACATTAATCAAGATCCTACTGTGTGTCAAGCACTGCAGGCATCTGTGGTTTTCAAAATGTGCTCAGAAACTAGGTTCTGAGATGTATCATTAGGGTGCTTTTGACTGCAGGTAACAGAAAACCCAATGGAAAGTAGTTTTAGAAGAAATGTACCTTCGTGGCCTCAGCTATGCTAGTGAGAGCACAAGTATCTTTCTGCTCTGCCACTTGTGGTGTGTTGCCCAGTCCTCTTAGGTGTTGTTACTCCTAGGTCTTAATGTGACTTCTACTATTCTAGTGTTACGTGAAGACTAAAGGCAGTGTCTAAAATGGAAAAAGTGAACTTTTAAAATTGAGGCAGAGTCTCCTAGGAATCCTTTAGCCAAAGCTCAGTTTAGCCTAGAGTTGTATAACAGGCCATATCTATGCTTGATCTTAGCCAAAGGCCAGGAAATGATACAACATGACATTTCTATAGCTGACAAGAGGGCAAATGGAAATACTATGAGTGGTCTATACCACACCTTTTAAAAATGTGGCTTGGGTCTTCCTGAGACCCTTTTAGGAGGTTAACAAGGGACAGTTTTCTAATGCTAAGGCTTTAGTTGTCCCTTCCACTCTTGTTCGCTCACTAACATGGTGAAGTTGTTAAGAGTTACATGATATATGATGAGGTCATCACTCTGGAAGCTAATGTGATATGTGTTTGTGTATTCTTCTGTTTTAAAATTTTCTAGGTTTTAATTTCTAATATGGTAAATATTGACAAATATATAAACAAAGTTTTTGGGGATCTTCAGTAAAGTTCAAGCATATAAACTTTCAAAACATTTAGAATTTATACAAGTCAAAATTTGTCCCTGGTATTGGGAGATCCTTTCCTCCCCTAAGACATGTTGTAGAAATTTTGAGTGAAGTTTTTTTATTTGTTTGTTTTTTGTTTTTGTTTTTTCCTTGATACTGGGAATTGAACTCAAAACCTTGTGCTTGCGAGGCAGACCACGGCACCACTGAGCTAAATTCCCAGCCCTGTTGTAGAAATTGTGGCACAAAAGTGGTAAACTCTGAATTCCTGGTGAAGCGTATTTATTCCTGTGACACTTTTGGAGATTGTCCCAAAGGGCAGAGAAATGAGAAAGCCTTTTCCCTGCAGTATTGCCATTTCATCTCCTGGACTGTCTTGAACTGGAGCCATGTTTCTGTTGTGTTTAGAGTATAAGCCTTTGTAGATATGATATATCTTTGTTACTTTGCGGTTTGAGTTCATGAAATAGTACTAGAAAGCAACTAAACAATTTTTGGGTAGTTTATAAATGAGAAAGGTGAATGTGATGATCTTCAGTGGACATTGCTTGGAACAAGCCTCTATAGCTGATGTTGTCGCTCTCTCTCCTCACCTCCTGCCTACAAAATACCCTTTCAGCCCTACAGAAAATCAGGAAAATTAACAAATATGGTCTCTACTGAGTCTCTCTGCTTATGGGACTTTCCCCTCTGCATAGAAATTTCTGAAGGTCATTTTATTTTTGCCTGCAAATATATACTGGATGTAGCAACAATTTCTGTTGTTTTTGTCTGTATGTAGGGAGAAGGTGAAATCATGGCTTACTTTGATTCCTTAGGGACTTGGTAAGTGCTAATTAAAAAATTACTTATGAAATGGAAAATGTAGATTTCCTTCTAACTTGCTGTGCTATTTGCTTTTAAATTTTTTTATTTTTTAATTAAAGCATAATTTATTTAAAAATTTTGTTGGTATATTTTTGATATACATAATGATCACATTCATCTTAGGGAATTTGTACCTCTTCATAATGTACCTTGATTCTTTTCTCCTCATTGCCCTTCCCCTCCTTATTTACAAAAACTTTGTTTCAATTTTTTCCTTGTTTTTTTTTTCTCTGCTCCCTTCTTTCCTTTCCTGCTTCTCCCTCTCTGTTTCCCTTCCCATTTGAACATTTTTTTCTTACTTCTTAATATCTTTAATCTATTTTGGTCCTTATTTGTGCTTTTAGTTTCTGCAAAATTTAAACATGCATATCTGATTTATTTTACTTAGAAATACTGTCTCAAGGTGCATCTATTTACCTAAAAATGTTTCAAGTTTATCCTTCTTTATGGCACAGTGGCACTCCACTGTATATAAGAACCACATTTTCTTTGTTTGTTACATTAGTGTATATAGTGTGTTAGCAAACACTTGTACATCAAGAATCATCATAAAATTAAGAGGATGGATAAAATTAGAAAATCACTATTTTTAAACTCATAACGGATTTAAAATGATTATCAGTGGATCCTAAAATCATTAGTGAAGAAATTGATGATAAATTATAGTGGATGGATTAGATTGAAAGTACCTGAATTCACTGAATTCTGTATTGTGAAATTTGAGAAGACTAAATATTATGTGCCTTCTGGTTTGAGTGAAAGTATACAGCACCACAAGTGAAGTATTCTTGTGAAAGAATTGAACCTGAACCTAATCAAGTCTATCCATTCTCAAAAAATAGAGGGGATAGTGAAACAAGTTAAACACCGTCACAGAGATATAATCAGCTAACTGCAGAGTATGGAAGGCATAGATGAAAGCTCTTAGTTTTTCTAGGGAATAAATGATATGAAATGTTTTTAAAAGGATAATTACTATAGAATAAAGGAGAAATATCTTTATTGACCATAGGTAATACTGGTACATGATCTTGTTTGAATCCTAATGTAAACAAAGTAATATGAACAAATATATAGGGAATTCTGAAAAAATGTAAACATTCTGTTAGATGATATTGTTAGTTTTGTTGCATGTAAAAAAGATATTGTAATTAAATTTCTTCTTTTGTGAGTCCTTAGAATAAAAGAGATACAAATAAAACTATTTTGGGTAAAGTAATATAAATCTGTCGTTTGCTTTAAAAATGGAAGAAGTTTGGCAATTATTTGAATTAGTTAATGGGTACATGGGGGTTTATTTTTCTTTTATGTACTTTTTTGTTCATTTTAAATAGTCATGAAACATTTACCACAAAATTTCACTCGGACCACATACTCTGTAAATGAATCAAATGTAAGCTACTCCTTTTTGGTTAAAGTCTGCTCTTCTTGAATGGTGTTAGACAAACAGGTAAGAAATTCATTTTACCTGTATACTATATTTCTCAGCTAATAGTTTTATCTGTGAGACCTCTGTAACTCCCTGATTTCTAAGAATAAATACTTTTCCCATAGTCACACTAAGACAATAGAGAAGGAAAGATGGCAGTTATTCAAAGCAAAAGTGTGTTGTATGTATGTGTTTGTGTGTGTGTGTATGTATGTGTGTATATATATATATATGTGTGTGTGTGTATATATATATATTCCCCCCCTCCACAGAGTAAGTATAAGTTGTAATAGGTAAGCAAAACCCACATATATTCATCATGTTTCATTTTCTGACTAGCCAGGACATTCAAACCTACTGCTTTTTATAAGCAGAATTTTTAAAACTCTTCTAGGTAACATAATTTAGCTCTTTCTTCCTTAAAAAAAGAGAGCTAACTCACAGTAAGTAATACCCAGTTTGTGCATGCAACTTAAGTGTAGGAGTTCTGGATAGTGTCAGGTTCTATTCTTCCCATCACTGTGTTATATTTTGTAAATTATAGACTAAATAGAAAATTTGTCTGTTAATAATATACTCTATATATGTAGTAGAAAAAAAACGAAAGAGAAGGAAACCTTAAAAATTGGATAACACAGCAAGCAAATACAGATAGACTCCAGAAACCAGCCTCACTTATGCTTTTTGACCAAGCAGACATACTTTGCACATGATGATAGAGTGCTGCTGAGCACACCCTGCTTTGTGGTTTGAAGATCAGTGCAATTGCTGAGTTCTACCATAGACTGTTCCCATAACCCAGACCTTCTACACTTTTGAAACAGCTTGGATCTCCTAGACCATATAGCTGCATGACAGAACATTCAGCATGGGCCTATTTTGCAGTGACTGTTGCTTAGTTTTACTACCAAGCCAGTGGATATTAGCAGATATCTTGTGCAGTACATGCTGCCTTCAGAGTTCTGGATTTATCAGCCAATCATTTTGCCTCATTGCAGGTGCAAGGTATAGCAGTTATCATTCACTTTATGTTTGTTTATTATTAATTTTGAGTAAATAATTACTATCACAAGCCTTATATGATACATGTACTAATAAACTACAATAAAAAAGAACATATGAGAATAATGCACATTCAAAATAATGAAATGGGGGTGGGGATTTAGCTCAGTGGTTCCACTGCCTGCCTCGCAAGTCCAAGGAAACGAGTTAGATCTCCAGTACCAAAAAAAAAAAGAAAGGCACTATCATGACATTAAGTCGAAAACCTAAGTCCAGTAAAATTTAAGTCCTGTCCCGCACTTATCATCCAGTCATGTCTCCTCACTGGAGGCCACCACTTCTACTAGTTTCTTGTGCATTCTTAATGTTAAAGTGTGGATCTCAAATTGGTACAGACCATAGAATTATAAGAAACTTCCTGAAGTGGCAGGTTCTATCTGTTCATTGTATCCTGTTATCTGGATAATGTGAAAGACATCTGTATCTCTTATTCTCCAGGGTCCATCAGCCTGGCAGTCTTCAGAAGGCCAGTGTGGATATGATGTATCTAGTGTAACCTGATGTGTCTGGAGTCGGTCTCTTTGTAGCAGATGAAAGTGACTACTTATGTTCTTAGTCTATCCTACTGGAGAAATACATTTACCAGCTCTATAAATACATTGTAGTTCCACAGGAGACTTAATTCGCTCTAGTAAGGACTCATATCTAAAGGTGCAGTTTGAGCAGCAGTCGCCATTTGATTATGCTTTTGATAGTTTAGTGTCATTAGCCTATTGGTCCCTCATTTGGGGAAGCAGTTCTCAATAAATCACTAGATGAGGGACTTTTTGGAGTAGTTTATTTTTGAGGACTCCAGGAGCTTCCAGTGGTTGTTCCAACTGTTTGTAGGAGGTACTTCATTGATCTTCATTACCCTCTTATTCCATTACTCTGGTTTCTAACTTCCTAAAATGGACAGAAACTTCATTGCTATTTTTCCTGTCTTGCTTCAATAACCAGTTTTAAATTTCCCACCTTTTTTCAAAGGTTGTTGCCTACAGTTGACTCTCTGGTGCCTGTGACCATGTTATCAGTTTGTATTCTTTGTAAACCACAGAAACCCACAATGATTAATTGAATGAGAGAGAGAGTGAGGGAAGAAGGGGGAGGCAGGGAGAAAGAGAGAAAGAAGACGACCAGAGAGAAGCAGGAAGGACGAAGGAAGGGGGAGGGGAGAAGTCTTTAGGAAGGTCTGTGAGTAATTGGCAGATTCAAAGAAATCTGAAAAACTATACCTTGAAAGAACTTCCAGATTTTGCTTCTACATGTAAGGAACAAGTTAAAAGGTGAATCAAACTGAAACCAGCAGCTCTTCTTAGATCTGTAAGAGAAATGAGGTTACAGGGCAAATTGTCATCTACAGACAGAAAGGTAAATACCACCCCTCGTCCCTTCCATGCAGGAGAAGGAAGGTACTCAATTGCACTGTGGCCATCTTGTCCCAACTAAGCAGGGCGGGAGGAGGAATGGGACTGGGGAGCACTTTGGGTACTTTGTGGCCCAGAAACACAGCCTCATGAAAGACTGAATGCTAAGACTTAGAACATTTCCCCTCCCTCTACACCTTACCTATACTTTTAAAAAAAAGGCGTCCTATTTATAGCAGTTCCTTTTACCTAGTACACCATGTCCAGCTCTTAATATTTAAAAAAAAATTACAGGGCAAACTACAAGAAAGACAATAGTTTAGAGAGACGGAACAGTGCTCACTTCGGCAGCACATATACTAGAAAGACAGAACAAACACCAGAACTAGACATGGATTATAAGATAGGGAATTAAAAATAACTGATTAGTTTGCTGAGTGCTTTAATGGATAAAGTAGACATTGTGCAAAAATATTTGGTCAGTGTAAGCAGAGAGATGGTGTTCTATAAGGCTTATGTTTAGATCCACCCCCTCCAAAGCCCCATGTGGTCTTCAGTAGGGCTTTTTCAGAGGTGCCTGAATCTCGTTTATGTCATTGATTCATGGTACAATGCTAGGCCCAAGGGCACTAGGACTAAGGGTGTGAGTGCTATCTGCCCTAAATAGTCTGCATAAGATAAAAGGAGCAGAAAAACTTTTCTTGTTGTTTATGCTACCTTTTGGCCATCATGAACTTTCTCCTAAGTCATATCTGCCACACCAGACCTTGGAGCCAGCCAATTATGGACTGAAACCTCTACAAACTGTGAGCTAAATAAATCTTTCCTGCTTTAACTTTGAGTGTAGGGTATTTTGTCTCAGCAACACGAGCAAAACAAGACAGATGGAAATCCTGTGAACCTAACAGAAATGCTGGAGATCAGAAACAGACAGTCTTTGTCAGCCATACTAGTAGGTAACACACAGCTATAGAAAGACTCTCTCAATTTGAGAATATCTCAAGAGAAATCTCTCAAACTGAAAAAGTAAACAGAACAAAGAAATAAAAGTTGAAAACACAAAAAACAAAAGAACACTAGAGCAGCATATCTAAGAACCGTGATATTATTACAAAGCATGT